ATCCAAGGGCAAATCTATCCAGTAACAAATAGATTTACTCTCGGATCAGTGGTTGAGGTATCATCAATCTTATGCACGAAATATTGAAATAAAAGTAATGCAATGGTTCTAAATCTAATAAAGTCAGTAAAACAACTGAGAATGGCAAAGAGAGGTTACCTGGCCGGGCCAGTTGGCCTAGAACACCCAAGGCTTCGAGGCCTTGCTCGTATTAGGATCGCATCTTGTTTTACACCATGAGTCATTTGTGTCTCTCTTTAAATTTGACCAAGCCTTGGCTTGGTTTAACTAGGTTTTCTAGATTTGATATGAGGGTGGAGGTTGAAGGTGGTTGATGGCTTAGGGTTTGTCTCTAGATTTAGAGTTTTTCACTCATTTTTTTTGGCTAACATGCTTTAACCTTAAAAAGGCCGTCAAAATGTGTTTTTATAGACCCAAAAGCGGATGAAATGGATTATTATTAAAAACCAATTGATCTGCCAGCTCGGAATCAATTTTTGTGGGTGAGAGAAGTGTCACCCAGATCAGACCAGGGCTTGTGTCGCCCTACTTAAATAGTCAAAATCAATTTTTTTTTCAATTCCTAGCCTGACCTCGAACAGATTCAATGCTTCCAAGCCAAATTTGGGCCAGATCCAGTGCATCTGGGTTGGACGACACACCTTATGTCGCTTAAGCTATGGTCTAGTCTGGGCGACGAAAGGTGTGTCGCCCAGCCCTTTAACCCCCAAAATCTGACTCTGGGCTGGCAGATCAGTTGGTTTTTAGTAATTATCCATTTCATGTGTTTTTGGGTTTATAAAAGTGCATTTTGACGATCTTTTCAGGGTTAAAGCATGTTAGCCAAGAAAAATCAATAAAAAATTCTAAATTTAGAGTCAAACTCTAAGCTATCAACCACCTTCAACTTGCAACCTCATATCAGATCTAGAAAAACATAGTTCGACGAAGACAAGGCTTGGTCAAATTTAAAGAGAGACATGGAGGACTCACGATGTAAACATAGTCATGGTCTTAATACGGGCGAGGCCTCGAAGCTTCAGGGGGCCAATTGGCCTGGGCAAGTAACCTTTTTTTGCCATTTTCAATTGTTTTATTTTATTTTATTAGATTTAGAACCATTTCATAGCTTTTATTTCAGTATTTCGTGCATAGGATCGATACTGGCTCGACCACTGATCTGAGAGCAAATCTATTCGTTACTTGATAGATTGGCCCTTGGATCGGAATTCGATTGATCTCACTCTCTATCTAGTCTTTAAAGTCAGTTTATAATGTTCAGTTTTGTGGGATCTTCAGTCGAAGATCTGCTCCGATTTGCGTAGTTAACAAAAAATCAAAAGAGAGGATAAAATCTAACAAGAGGTAATATTTTCAAATCTAACTTTTTATTTATTTATTTATATTTTGTTTGAAAATAAATATGAGAAAAAAGAAGCTTTTTAAGTGTAAAATACAAATCTGAAGCTCCACCAAACTGTTTACCTTCCAATCGGTGCCGATCTCTGAGTGAGATCAACTCAAATCTTTGCAAAACTGAGTTAAATTTGAAAGGTAGAGAAACTGGGGTGTCGCTTGAATTATGGGCTCAGAAAAATCTCAAATCTCTATAGATTCGATCTTTTTCTAAATCCATTGTCAGCGTCAACTCCAAATCTGTATTGCCTTAAATATGCTTCTAAATTTAACTAAATATAATAAATTAATTTTTCAAAATAAAATAAAAAAGATAATTTTAATGAAGAAAATAAATTAAATTAAGAATTGAAATAAATACATAGTTCTAGAGATCCAAAACCCAGAGTTTAGGGTTTGGATTAGGCCACTCTTTTGATTTGCGCCACCATCTCGTTTTTGGATGCTTTATGCTTGCTGGTATTGGTATATCTATGGTTCTTTGACCTAGATCTAGGGTTCCTAAGGCTGAGGAAAAGCTTGGTAGGGTCTACCCAAGTTTTTCTAGGATTTGGAGAAGGTTTTCCTTAGGCTTCTTAAGATAAAACCTGAATTTTGGGATTTTCCTAATTTTTAAGGCTTTTTCCTAATTTTAAATATTTTTTTGGCTATTTTTCCTTATTTCTAGGGATTTTGGGATATTTTTCGGATGTATTTTTTGGGTTTTGGAAGGGGATATTTATAAGTTTGAGATCAGGAATTTCCTAGTTCAATTATGTTTTTTTTTTGGATTTATCCTTATCATTTTGGATTTATCTGAATTAAAATGTGTTTTCTGCATCACTGGACTGCACTTGGGCCACACAACACAGCCCTCCGTGGCCCAACACTTGTAGGGGTGTGCAGGGACCAAATTGTCATTTTTTGAAACAATTTTTCTTGGGCTTTAACTTTTTAATTGTAAGTCCGATTCAGGCGGTTGTTGGACCATTGAAAAATTTATCTCCTCTACAATTTGAAATCAAATTTAGTTAAATTTGAGATATTTTTGAGGGGTCTACAAGGCTATGACTTTAGGATCTCGGTTTAAGGTTTTTGGGTATCCGATCGATGTTCGGGTCAGTTTTTTGGGTTCAGGGTTCATAAGGCTTGTGGGTGTCTAAGGTCTCACTATGTGAGGGTAATCGGATAAGTTTTGGGATAATTCTCCTGGGGTTAGGTCAACTATGGTCTACTAGGGTTTGTGTGGTCCTTTGGATTCAGAATCAAAGGTCTTAGCAATTCCCTAATCAAGAATTCATGATCCCATCATTTCTTCTAAATTAGACTCCCATTCGATTGGAGAACCAGACCTCAAGAAAAAGTCTATAGTCGATGATGACTACACTCGCAGCATCCTAGGTAGCATTGGAGTGACTATAACACTGGCGGCATCCCAAGTAGCACGATTCCTTTTGTTTGTCACTTCGGATCCTGATCGTTGGAGGCCTCTCAACCCCAACTGACTCAAGGATAGTAGTGTCATTTCAATGTCTTACGGATCAAAAGCATATATCGGCATATCGCCTACCCAAAAGGGTGTTTTGGTCATTCAAAAGAATGATCCCTCAGAAAAAAGTTTCCTTCCGTCGTGTCACCGTTGTCTACTTCTTTGCCACTCACTTGTTGCCCCAGGTGAATGCCAAAGAGGGGTAACAACTGTATACACCCCTCAAAATTCTTGCTAAGGGAATCCCTATTACCTTTGATTTTGAATCCAAAAGACCACACAAATCCTAGTAGACTTTCGGTGACCTAAACCCAGTAGAATTATCCGAAAACGTATCGCAATACCTTCATATAGTGACCTTAGATACCCATGAACCTTATAAACCTAGAAAACTGACTCAAACGTCGATCAGATACCCTAAAACCTAAACTTGAGACCCTAAAGTCATAGCTTTGTATACCCTTAAAAAATATCTCATATTTAACCAAATTTGGTTTCAAATTATGGAGGTGATCACAAGGTTTGCAATGGTCAAAGAATCACCTGAATCAGACTTATAGTTAGAAAGTTATTCCAAAAAATGACAATTTGGTCCTTGCGGACCCTACAAGTGTCAGGCCATAGGACGGGCTGTGTCGCGTGGCCTGATGATGCAGAAAACATGTTTTAATTCAGATAAATCCGAAAAATGGGGAAAAATTCAAAAAAATAAAGGAAAAATACCCAATCTTAATCCTAATCGAACTAGGAGATTCTCTACCTCAAACCTATAAATACCTCCTTTCAAAACCCAAAAATTACATCAGAAAAAGATTAAAAAATTCCTTAGAAATCCCAAAATTAGGATAAATAGCCCAAAGATACTCGACATTAGGAAAAAGCCTCTAAAAAATTCCTAAATAATTAGTAAAAACCCCAAAAAATTATGGAGAATCCCACAATTCGGATTTTACTATAGGAAGTCCCAAAACCCTTAAAAATATAAGGAAAACCTTCTCCAAATTCCAAAAAAGTCTAGGTAGACTCTACCTAAAATTCCCAAGCTTTTCCCCCTAGTTTTAGGAACCTTAGATCTAGGTCAAAGAACATTAGATCTATCAATTCCAACAAGCATAAGGAATCCAAAAAGGAGATGGTGGTGCAAATATGAAGAACAACTTGATTACTGCTTGAAACTGCATATTTCGGGTCTCTAGAGCGAAGTATTTATTTCTGTGTTTAATTTAATTTATTTTCTTCATTTAAATTATCTGTTTTATTTTATTTTTGATGATTAATTTTTTTAATTGATTTAGTTAAATTTAGAAGTGCTTTAAGTTAAAATACAGATTTGGAGTTGGCGCTGCCATTGGACTCAGAAAAAGACCGGATATGTATAGATTTGGGATTTTTTTGAGCCCATGATGCAAACGACCTCACTTTCTCTATCTTTTGAGATTTAAATGTTTTTGCAAAGATTTGAGTTGGTCTCACCTAGAGATTGGTGTAGATTGGAGCGTAAACAATGGAGAAGGAAAAAAATAAAGACACCAAACTTTGTTGAGTTTGCAGTAGTAGCTTTTTAGCTTCTATTCCAAAAATCTCTTAAATTTAGGTACATCTAAAGTAGCTCTAACCTTGTTTGTTAGGGATAATTATGTAATAGAATAGTTTTAGTTAATGTTTATTTAGTAGATTATATAATCTCTGTAAAAAATGGTGTGTTTTGTTGAATAACTCGTGATTTTTGCATCTACAGTAACTTGAGCTGTTTGATTGACTGTTCATTTCATTTTCATTCTAAAATCTATGAATTTGCAATGCTCTATCTCTCTTTTGGGGCCTATTTCAATTTTGCATATTATGATTTAAATCGCTCACCGACGGCAAGGCTTTCTTTATGTGCCAGAATGAATTTCTATGACTGTTATTGGGTGCTTTTATCCTGGATTTTGAGGAACTTATTATTGGGGTTTGTTTTTAGACTCTATTTTGCCTTGGGATGTTATTTGTTACATCATCTGTGGAATGTTGTTATTTATACATTATTTTCTCTATTGAACTTCAGTTTGTTTCTGCCCTTTTTATGAAAGTTTGTGCTATCTACATGATTGATTTAATATGCTGTTTAATGTAGGTTGTGGAGGTCTCAACTTCTAAGACTGGAAAGCATGGTCATGCAAAATGTCACTTTGTTGGAATTGATATTTTCAATGCAAAGAAGCTTGAAGATATTGTTCCTTCATCCCATAACAGTGATGTGAGAAGCCTTCTTCTTTTTCTTTTTCTTTTTTTAAAATAAAAAACACAACATGAACATAAATATGAGAATATTTTTATTATTGGAATTTCGTTTTTGATAATGGTGATCAAAGCATTATTGTTCATTGGTCTATTCGTATTATGTCCCAAATTCTGGCATCCATTATATGATTCCCTATGGATTTATTGTTGTTGTAGGTTCCCCATGTTACTCGTACGGACTACCAGCTGATAGATATCTCTGAAGATGGATTTGTACGTTCTTGATGCCCTTTTTGTTTTGGTTATATATGGGGGAAACCTTTCTATGGGTGCCCGTACATATTTAAATATTTATGTTTGGGGATTGATAGCCATCTGAACCTAATTAGACGATTGGATGGTTGGTGGTGAGCTTACAAGAAAAACAGATCAGCACTAGTTCTTCTTGTCTGGTTGCAATTCATGTATGAATTGTTGTCTGCTCTTTACCGGCCATTGATCAAAATCAGACAGTTGTAGGTCCCCAGGCACATACAAATTCTATTTGTATAGGGGGGCTTACAGAAACCTCACCCTGTGCGAATTGTTTGTGTTTTGTCATGTCCAATGTGGTGATTTATCATATTTCGCAGGTGACTCTGTTGACTGAAAGTGGGGGCACCAAGGATGATCTCAGGCTCCCAACAGATGAGAGTCTGTGCTCCCAGGTTAGTGTTGCAGTCTCAGTTGGAATTTAATGAGTTGTACTTTTTATGGTTTCTTTTCAAAATATAATTGTGCAGATCATGTGTGATAGAAGATATGTGCTAGGTTAAGAAATAAAAGTGGTTATGAAATGTTCTGTAATTACAAGTGTTAGCTTACTTACCCAAAAAAAAAAATTTGTTTTGGCTGACTTTTTCGCCCTTAAAATGATTCGATCTAATGACTCCATACTCCTAAGCCTACGAAAGGGAATCTTTAGTTTAATAAGCTAAGATGAGCTTTATTATACTTTTTTGTGTGGGTCTTCTGTACACATTTCCATCTGTCAAAGCCTCTGATTAGAGCAGTCTCTCTCTCTCTCTTTATCACACACACACACATGCACATGCACACGCACACACACACTCTGCAAGGTAATTGAGTTGGTATCTTTTCCATTGGCATTGGGAGGTGAGGAACAAGGGATCATGTGCATGTATTTCAACAAGTAGAAATAATTAAATAACGTGCTGAAGTCTGTACAGTCCGAGACTTATCTGTTTCAGGATGTCTTAACTATAATCAATATTCTATTGCGAGTCATCCAGATAGGCCCTTCTCTGAACTTTACTCTCTCCCAACTGTGCAGTACCAATCACTAGCAAGTTAGTATATATCATCGTTTTATTCATCTCCATATACAGTAATACTCCTGTATCTTTTCTTTAAAACCAGATGGTCTTGGTCCCACATTTTTGTTTCATCTCCAAATACAGTAGTACGATCTTGGTCCCACATTTTTGTTTCATTTTCCTCTGTCTAATCCTGCTGGCGTTTTATAGAAGTATCTGATTTGTAGATCCAATTGTTGGCTTCTATAGCTAATTGATTTTTTTAAATTATCAAATATGAGCAACAAAGTGATTATCTTTCTGTTCATATGAACCTGGATAACCACATTTACTAATCATACTAATCAATGACAAACCAGAGTCATTGGATCAGCTCATGATTTAACATTGATGGTGCGAGAATAATCTGATTTTTTTTTATTGAAGCAAAAAATTTATGACATTGTTTTCATCATGCAGATTAAGGATGGTTTCAGTGAGGGCAAAGACCTGGTTGTAACTGTTATGTCAGCCATGGGGGAGGAGCAGATCTGCGCTCTTAAGGACATTGGTCCAAAGTAAGTCTGCGTCGGGTAATGTGTGGCTATCGTCTCTAAGTCTGTGTCGGGTAATGGGTGCTATCGTCTCAGTGCCTTTGCTTCTTTTACTTTTCGCTTTTCCAACCTTTTATGCCAAATGATTTCCTTTTTGTAGTGCTTTTAGTTTCAGTTATCAGGGACCAAAATACAAAGTTTTACCCTGTCCCCAAGAAAATAGCCTCTACTCTTGTTGGTTATTGAGAGGTTTAACTGACAGGGCCTGTAATAGAAGAAGAAACAAACCAGCCCATAGGGCCTGAACAAACTTCCTCTGCAATCTTTTTTTTTAATTATTTGATATTTTATTTGAGTCATGGTTGGTTGGTTATGAAAAGTGCATACAATGTTTCAAACTGGAATATACAATGGCAATTAGTTTCTTTTATCACCTGATCCTTTGTATACTTGTTTCTGCCTTGTGCCGGTCTTTGCATCTATGCACGAGTGGGGTAGATCAATTTATTAAAGTAATGTGGACTTGACATTTGCTTACTTGATAACCATTTTACAGTATTATTACTTAGGCACGGACACGAGTATATGAATTTGTGCCGGTCTTTGCATCCCCGCATGAGTGGGGTAGATCAATTTTCATGAGTAATGTGTACTTGACATTTGCTTACTTGATAACCTTTTAACTGTATTACTTAGGCACCGACACCAGTATATGAATTTGACTTCTACTAACTTCCTTTGAAAGCCAGTATGGCATGGCAGCTTGGTCATCGAGACTGGGTGACCCAGTTTTGGCCTATTTGTTGGTCAAGCTGGGACTTCAAAAAAAATATTATGGAAAAATTTTAAAAATTGAAATTAATTTGTAATGTGTTTTTAATGTTGTTTAGCAATTTGGCAAAAAAAAGGTGTGGCCATGTATTATATATATCGGTGTGGTTTCTCCTTTAAACAATCCAATTGAGGAGTACCTCCATATTTTATTATAACAAGTAATTTTGGTATAAAAAATTGCAAGGATTATCTGAAGGGTATGCTTTCTTTAAGGTTGCAACCTTAAAACAGTCCAATTGAGGTGCACCTCCAAATTGTATCAAAACGTAGAAAAAAATTATTACGATTATCTCTAAATCTATTTTTATATTTAATTATAAAATTTTGAACTCCAAAAAAAGGTTAAAATCAAGTGGATCTATAAACATATAAAAATCTTGAAAATATACTGTTTAGATGGTGTATTGTAAGATGCATTATTTTTTAGACTAAAAATCCCTTTTTTCCTGTAGTCATTCATCTTGATATTGAGATGATCAATTAGAGGTATTTTTACATTTTAAGGTTGCTATTTTATATAAATTTTTTTTTTTTTGAAAATTTATTTTTATATTTTATTATAAAATTTGAAATTTCAAAAAAGGTTAAAATTAGTTAAATCTATGAAAATCTTGAAAATGGGCTATTTAAATAATGTATTGCATGGTGTATTATTTCTGGGATTCAAAGTATTTTTTGTACATATTCATGCATCTTGGTATCGGGGTGATCAATTAGAGGGTTAATTTTTTGAGGCGCTATCTTTAATTCTATATTTTGAGGTTGCAACCTTTTGGTCACATGGGTTTTTCAAAATTTCCTTTTGTTATACTTTTTTTCACACTCATTTATGTTTAGTTATATTTCAAACATAATTGTCATGTTCTTTAGATTTGGTTTTTTATTTTATTTTTTAAACAGTTTTTTGGCCTCCATTCCCCTGTAATTTCGATCTTGGCACGCGGCATTTGGGTTTCAATTCTGTACATGTTATGTGCTATAGATGTTTTTGGAGTAACCTGGGGTTGACACACTTGGCGATGGTTGTGAAAGGCACACTTTGATTGATATTGTCTTACTCAATTTATGCCTTTTATGTATCGGTTTCATATTTGCTCCATGCGGTACAGTTTTAATCAGTACACTTGTCTTGTTGGTACCTAGTACATGTTTGAAAGTTTAGTATGAGGCTAAAATCATTACTTTCTTGAACACCTTGTACGATGAATGTTTTGAAAGAATTATAGTATTACATAATATAAAGGGAAAATTACAAAACCCTTTATAAAGTCAACTTTCTTTGCATTCTTCCTCGAACCAATTTTTTATTGCAATTTTTATTCCAAAACTAATTTTTATAACTAATACTTCTCAAGAGAAAAAAAAATTTATAGTTTGGAAGATGAAAATACTCGTCTGTACAAAAAAACATCACATTTCTGTAAACGCTCAATCACCAAAGAGGATCTAATACATATTACTACCGGATCGAAACCCATACCACATTAACCGCTAGACCGAAACAACATGCAACTTATGCCAGATTGAGGCGTCATAATGTCGGACCGACAAAACTAGATTGAGGAATCATAATGTCGGTCCGACAAAACCAGATCGAGGCATCATATTGTTGGACCGACAAATTGTTGGACCAAAGCGGCAATTTACTGGCCCGCATTTACAAGTGTCGGATCGAGGTTCATAACTGTCGAACAACAATAAAAATCTTTCGGATTGCATTTACAAGTGCCAGATCAACAACATTCAATGACCAAAGGGAGGGCATTTTAGTTAAAAAAACTATGATTTTTTTTACTTAAAAGGGTATTTGTTATAAAAGTTAATTTTGCGATAAAAGTTGGGATAGAAAAGTTCGTTAGGAGGAGGTTGTAAAAGGAGTTAAGTCAATGGGGATCTTTGGAATTTTTCCTAATATAATTGAGTAAAATCAAAAGGGTATTTGCTATAAAAGTTAATTTTGCGATAAAAATTGGGATAGAAAGGTTCGTTCGGAGGAGGTTGTAAAAAGAGTTAAAGTCAATGGGGATCTTTAGAATTTTCCCTAATATAATTGAGTAAAATTGTTCAACTTTTTTTCTTTTCTTTTTTTGCAACGTTATAAGCTCTTTATCGAATATATGCTTAACAAGCATCAGATTATATCAAGGAAATTAATGCGTTAGAAATAAACAGAAAAGATAAAGAGACTCCATGCTTTGCAAAATGGTCTGCCTCATGATATGTATGAGAGAAAGAAATCCTCATACTTGGGGTAGCACAAAGATCAGTGATTTTCAGCCAAAAAAATGCAATGACCAAGGTACATTTTACTCTTGCCTACAACATTTAATGACATTAAAAGAGTACCCTTCAATCAAAATATCCCTTGAGAAGCCTCTAGCAATAATAATACGTAATCCTTGTAGAAGAGAAGATATATTTTGTTGATTATATCTTTTTTTAAGAAAAAAAGAACAGTACCATAATGGTTCCGAAGCATACCACTAACACCAGCAAGCCTTGGATTGCTTGAGGAAACTACTATTAAAGTTTAGTTTTAGACAACCCATTGGGGGCAAATTCCAAACCAAATGAAGAAGGACTAAATAAGAAAATGATGAAGCTAAATTCTCTAGGTTTACAAAGATATCAGCCCGTAAAACACTATGACCCTCTGAAGTGGAAGAGAACCAATCCCATAGTGACTAAAGAATCCGATATTTAATTCCTTTCGAGCTTAAACAAATCCCATCAAATGTTCTCCTGTTATGTTCCAACCACATTATAGCACTCTTGAAAATTTTCCAAATGAGGACACCTTTTTGAGGTAAACCTATAGTACATAGATGATTAATAGTTCCAAGGAGATTCTCTAGTAGCTAAAGAATAGTCCCATGTTATTAAAAGCCTAGTTTCAAATATTGAAAGAAAAATTGCAATGCAAGAAGAGATATGACAACCAGTCTCCTCATCGCAACTTGCACATAAGACAGACATTCATAAGAACTTTACCCTTTCTATGCAAATTATCAATAGTGAGGCATTTATCTTGCATAGCTACCCATAGGAAAGCGTGGATTTTGACCGGTCATTTCCAAATCAAACCAAGGGTACAATTGGTCCAACAGACACGGTCATGATAAAGAAGCTTTAAGCTGATTTAACATAAAAAAAGGCCATCAGGTTCATATTCCCAAATAATCTCATCTACAGTGTTGTGAGAAACATAAATATCCTCCAAACTTTTAAGTAACTCTTGCATATGCAAAATGATATTATCTGATAACCTGTTATAAATGCATGAAAAATCCCAAACCAAACTTCCTATAGTATGTGTAGCAAGATCTAAAATCTTTGCAGCTGGACGTGTAACCTTAGCAAAAAGATCTGGAATAGAGAAAAAGAGATCCCACACCCAACCATCGTGGTGATGGAGTTAGCAATGGAGTAAAAATCATGAGAAAATCATTGGCTTTTCTTGTATTTACTTTCCAGTAAAAAAATCAACAATATTAGAACTAAAATGCCCTTATCCTCTCTATCTCTTTACCCTCCCTCTCCCTTTTTCCCAATCTCTACATAGTTGAAAATTAGCTTTTTTCTATCTCAATCAGCAGTCTCTCTCTTTCTGTCTCTAGCCACCCTCTCTCTTTCTCTCTCTACCTGCCATCTTTCTAACAAGAAAGCATCCAGCAACTTCAACAGAGCAGGCAAATTAATATAGAAACCAGGGAAAGAAAACACCACCCAGAAAACCCAATGCCAAGAATATGAAGAGGAGCTTCGCATGAAGTTGAGCAATACAAGAATAGAGAGAACAAAGAGTAGTGAGAAAAGAAGTTTGAAACATCAAAATATACATTGGAAAACCAATCTAAAAAAATCCCATGATCAAAACCAGCAGGCTCTATGCTATTTTCACAGCTTTTAGCTTGTGGATCAATGGCGATGAAAACCCATGAAATGGAAAAAGTTGAGAAACCTCTCTCAAGCCATTAAAAACCAGAGTTTACACAAAAAGGTAGTTTGCAAAACCGCTGCAAAAAATGCAGCTTTAGATGAAGATCTTGATTATTTTAGACGAAGATATTGATTATGTTGAGGATTAATATCTTGTATTTTGAGGAAATAAATCTGTCAAGGTGGAGTAAAAAAAAAATTACTCCGGAAGGCCGTTAAAAGCCCGAACGGCTGAAGGCCTATAAGGCTTGAGGCCTGGAGGAATCATCCTGATAGGTTGACTTGGCCCCTACGGGAGGTTCGGAGACTACCCGAGGAAAAATTCGGATATATCCGTACATGGGATTCGATATATCTGGAACTTGATATATATCCATACAAGGGTATTTCGATAATTTGTACCATTTATCTGAGATAGATATATATTGTTATGATTAAGGGTTAAGAAAAAAACGCAGATTGCTTCGTAATCAGAGAAACGTGAGGAAGAGAGCGTTTGTAACCCTATTATCCATTACAAGTAAAGAAGTTCTCATCTCTAGTAGACGTAGGCACATTACCAAATCATGTATATCATTGCATTGTGGTTGGTTGTCTCTTTCTTTTGTGTTTGTTTCTTTTTTTTAGTTTCGTAGATTGCCTTTCGTTTCTTCAGATTATTT